AAGCTTTTCCTGTCAAACAAATAAAAAAACAATATCAGGTCAGGTCAGGAAATATTGAGACTGTCAAGTTCCCCTTCGCATCTCACGGGAGGGCTCTGCTTCCTTTCTACCTGTTCCAATTACTCCACGGAGGCAGGCACTTTAACAAGGTAGCTAGCGTTCTGTAGCATTTGTCACTAAGGGGAGTACAGTAGAGTAAAGTTTACCTTCATAGCACTTCTAGATGACCTGACCCTGTTACAGTAACACACTATATAGCAGAATCCCCGAATTTAATTCATCCATTATTCATATATCGTTGAGGTTGGTAGTGATTAACAAAAGACTAAGCTACCTGTGGCTCAATTTTACAGCTAATTATCCAAAAGACCAAAAGCTAATTTTGTCAGTTCGTCTCGCACTCTTGCTAGAATCCATGACTCATGAACAGCCACATAATAAGTTAGCTTAAGGATAACCAGAGCAATACATCATGAGAATAAAAGCGTAATGGAGAAATGACAGCTGAGTAGTGAAAATATATGCCTCTCTTTAATGCGGTCATTTATTCTGAATATTTCCTGTCACTTGAAATTAGTAGCATAAAAAAACAGCACATTGTGTCTTAGCCTGTTTTTGTGATACAATTTGTAAACTCTAAAGAAGACCACACAAGTTGTGTGAACTGATTATTTTGTAGACATCTGTTAAAAAAAAAATGAAATCTTGGAGAGGGAGTTTAAAAAATGGTATGTCAGGGTTGGGTTAAAGTTCTTTCAAAAAATTTAATTCTGGCATTGTTTACTCAGTATTCACCTGTTCCAAACCCTTTTCAGCATCTTTTCTTTTGTAGATCAAAAATATTTAGAAAAGTGGTATGTAGAATAGTAGCCACTGACTTCTTATGGTAAGAAAAATTATTACTGTGGAAGTAAATGGCTATGGTTGTCTAACATTTATTTTTCAAAATCATTTATTTTATTGTTCAACAAAAGAAAAACAACTTCATAATGAATATATGGTGAATTCTTGGGGGAACTATCCTAATATATTTAATTAGAAAAAAATGCAGACCACAAATGCCAAGTGTGGGTCACCATACTTGACCACATTTCACAACTTTCACTTTCACTTTAATAAAAAAAAAATAATTTTTTGTACAAAAGTGCCCATTGTACTTGTCACACTTGAGCCCCAGGCCCTCAAAATGTCTCGCCACATCCCTAATTGTGATACAAGCTGCTTTGAATAAAAGCGTTTGCCAAATGCATAAGCATAAGTGATAACAAATGCTCACCTGATATCCACCTGAACATTTTGCATGCACTTTCAATGCAGAGACTAAAAAAATACACACTAAAAAATGCATTCAAAAGAAATTACCTCTGGGGCTTACAAAAAATGAGGAAGAATAAAATGACAGCAGTTTTTTTTCTTCTTAAACTGAACTTTCTCTATTGTTCCTCTTTTGTTGGTTATTTGTCCTCGTTTTTGAGACTTTTGGATTATTATTTATTTTTTATTTTTTGCTTAACTACAAAATATAAATGTATTCCAAGGTTGAATAGAGGGTGGGATTTTAATTTAATACTCCTCCAAGCTATTTTTCATTTGCAGCAAACTAACATGAGCAAAAATAGCATGTGTTCTAACAAAGTAAGCATATCAATTTTAATTTCATGAAGTATTTATATCTCTTAGTGTGTCTGAACATGCCAAACACACCTCTCACACTCCCTCCTTCTGCAAATAAAAGACTATAAAAATGTCAAGACTCTTGACAAAAGGCTAGTTTGCATGATTGGACAGCAAAAAGAAACATTTTACCATCATTCGCTAATTTTCATGTTGTAAGGCAGAATGACAGTTCCAGTCACCATTAACTCTTTTAAAAAGAAGTACATTAAGTTGTCAGTACCTAAAGAGATAGTTCATTGGTTCCAAATCTTTATTTATGTTGAACCCTGATTATTTTAAAGAAAAATGTAACCACTGAATTCCTTTGAAGGAAAAAAACAACATATACCAGAAGTCAATGGTTACAGGTTTTCAGCTTTCTTCAAAACATCTAGAGGAAGAGTAAATAGAAAATTACTACTTAGTAAAACAAAACTACACCTTTAAATTCTCCCTTACATCGCATTCCTCATAAATGGTACATGACTGCAACGAAGTGAAGAAATTTTCAATTTAGTCTGAACTGTTTCTTTAAGATTTAAATTGGCAAAAGCGGTGTATCGCCTATAAAAGCAAAACACTTGAGAAATGCTACAAGTAAACAACAGCCGAGTAAAGAAAAACAACCCTAGCCATTTTACTAACCCAGCTATATATCTGAACGAAAATCAAACTATTAAATTCCATTTAAACACGAATAACATAAGCTAAATTAGCTCCTTGACGTACAGTACATCATTAGCCTAACGTTAACGTTACTCCCAAATCTTTGAAAGTCAAAGAAGCGTAACAAATCTCAAGTTAACCACGGTGTTTACCTACATTTTCGCGTAACGTCAACAAAAACTAACCTTTGACGCAGTAATGGTGTTTTAAAATGTTTGCACATTCGCTTGTTGTCGACTACAATAATCGCCCATCATCAACAGTATCGAGCACTAACCTTGATCCTCTTCACTTTCTTCCACTTGTTACAACGCCATTCACTCTTTGTCGGGATTCCCCTTCATTTCCAAGCGCTCTTCCCGCATTCCCGCACCGATTTGATAGATTTCAATTGATCTGTTCCGAGATTCCCAGTCAAATCCAACGCTCCTCTGACAGTCAGTTTAACACAATGAGAAAGAGGGACAGGGCTTTAAACAGCTGTTTCCAAAATGGAGAGATCCCACAGCCAATCACCCTCCGCCCGCTCTCTCACCAACAACAGCACTTGGCATTGTTCACGCGGAGCTTCTAGTATGGTAAAATGCAGACAATTTGTATATTGAAAATGTTTGTTTAGGGAGGTTTCTGAAAAGTCTTCAAGCTGGCGTGCAGGTAGGTGAATTCGCCTGCTGAATACCTTTACAAAATTGCCATGGTAACGTCAGTTTCCGCTAAAACGCCACACTTGCGTGGTTGTTTGTATCATAAATATGTGGCAACTTAGTCACAGCTGTAGGAATACATAGCTAATTAAGTAGAATAATCACGTCTGGAAGCATTATACTTTAAAGAAGATATTACTTTGGTGTTTTAACTGTGTACGTATGATTTTAAGATGATTTACACCACCTGCGAAGATAAACCATTCCTTTCGCCATCTAAAGAAAGGAAGTGTGTGGATGAAGTTTTCGCCATGTGGTTTATGTCTCCATCTTCTGGTAAACATCATACTGCACTTCACTCTTTTTTAACATTTATTGTAAGACAGAGATGGTACACATCATTTACAATAATAATCATTAGACCAGTCATTCTCAAACTTTTTTTTTTATCAAGTACCACCTTATTGACCAGTATTTAAATACATAGTGTAGCGTATATATATATATATATATATATATAAAACGACATAAACTTTTTTTCTCACCACCACTGGTCATTTTCACAAGACAAAATTTTGTTGTAGGAAACTATTTTATATAGCTAAATTTGACTTTTGCATGCTAAAAGTACTTGAGTAAGAGACGTTTTACTTGATTTGGGTCATTAAAAAACTCAGACTACCAATATTATGATATAGGTAGCCTATATCTGCTGTATTAAACCTAAAACCTACAGTAGTTTGGCATAAAACCAAAACCCATTCTTGCCTTAAGACATCTTATTAAGCAAATTTTGAATAACAGTAAGTTCATGACATGTTAAATATATAGTAAATCTGCTGGTTTTTAACATACAGAATAATAATAAATACAGTTATGTAACAACTATAACATTACCGTTATATATTAGGACATATTTGATTAACTTTTTATTACCTACACCTGTTGACTAATGAAGGTACATTTATAATAACTATTTGTTAGACTACTGTATTGTCAAGTCATGTTGCATAGAAATGCATTCAACAGACTTATATGACTGTGAATTGCTGTAGAAGACAAATAAAACACGAGTCAGGTGTATAGAGTAAAGTTTATTTTGTTTGACCTGCAAACTTATCTAAACAAGATAAACTTTCAGAAAACAGCACGGAAACATAATGCGCGCGCTCGTTAATATAACCCGCGGTTGTCTTCAACTGTTGTTTTCAATAGTCAGTCCTTTGCACAGCAACTCAGCTGAAAAACAAAGTAAAACATTACAACAGTCAGACATAGAGCAAAGAGCACAAAATCATCAAGAGGCGACACTCTAGTCTAGTACAACTTGAGAAACAGACACTAGATGGCGCGGTGGCCATTTTATCAACAAGTTTGTATTCTCTCTGTTGTATCTCAGCTTTAAGGCACTTTTTGAATAAATTATTTAAAAACAAAGCAGCTGCTTGCCATCGCGACAGCAATGAGATCCAATGGACGGCCGATCGCTTTCACAGTGAAACGTTCTATTGAGTGTCGCCTCTTGGTCATTCTAAGCTCTTTGCATAAAGTTAAATCATTACAGTTACCATGGTTTCTATTTCAAACTATAGTAAACTAAAGTTTGAAACTATAGTTTAAAATAGACGATAACCATAACCCTCGCAGCGAGGTCCCAGTACCGGCCTCCAGTGTTTTCTGAGGGTCCTCAGGGCTTGATTGTTCCCTCGCTCCAGGGAGTGCACGGCCAAACCGGGCGCCAGGCCGTGCCAGTGTTCATTGAATGTTGCTCGGCGGCACGTTTCGAGCAACAAACACGTAATGTTCTTCGCGATATTGCTTTTATGTACGCAAACCGCAAGGAACTACGGGCCCGAGTGAAGCTTCACGAAGCGGACTTCGTAGGATTGGTGTGGCTCCACTCGTACTCACCTTAGTCAAATACAGACAGCACCACCGAGCGAACTGAAATTGCTGAGAGAGAACCGACGAGCTTTATAGGAATGCAGATGCAAATTTTTACAAGACACGTCACTGCTGTGTCTTGTTGTCATGGTGAGCGCTTGACGAGGGCTCATCTCATTGGAGCACAAAGACTCGGGAATCTGCGTCACGGCGAGTTGCGTTCTGCTGTGGACAAAAACATAAAATGTATTTAATATGTATATATACATTTTTGGTGCTGTGTAATATTCTGGGATGCAGTAGAATATAGAGCCTGATGAATATAATTGGGTATGTGCCGAGCTAGTGTTTGTTCCCATAACGTTACTTAGAAACTTCCGGTGACCTGTTTTTGTGAGTTTTTTTTTTTTTTTCATTTTATACGGTTCCATTTACAGCATCGATGTTGTAATATAATTAAAATACATCCAGTTAAACAAATTTTGGCATTCATTTAGTTGTTAAAGCGTGAAACGAGACAAAGGCCTTTTACTCGCACTCGCTCGTCAGAATCGGCAGGCTAGCGCAGAAGCTCCATTGAATATAGCGTTACTGGGGTAAAATAAATGCTCATATTATAAAGACATGGCGGGGAAAATGTAATTTAATGCAGAGATTATTGTACAATTTGAGACCCACTTTATATCGGATATCACTCAGCCAGTGGAGATCGCTGATTTTTAAAGAAAACTGACCTTAAGCGCGCAGATTTTTCTTTTGACATAAAGTTCACCGGAAGCGCTTAACCCAGATTACTGGCAAATTAAAAGTTCTATTAGCATGCTTCGACATGATGTAGTAGGCCCAGTAAAGCAGCAACAGCTCTCCACGGTTTAAAAACGTGGCAGATTAACTACTATTATGAAGAATATGTATTATTATCAACCACTTTAAACATTATTAATAGTTAAATAGTTAACACTGTACTGTGCTTATATGTAAAAAGACACAGAAACAAACAAAATAGAATGTTAACGTTTAAATTAAAATGTGCTTTTATAAGTTCATAAAAAATGGTAGGCTACTGTTCTTAAAAAGTAAAAGTTTAAAAAAAAAAAAGAAAAAAAAACTCCTGTACTTAAATGTAAAGTGTTAACCAATAGTATCATATTCATCAAAACTGAAATGTTTCGTGGACCTCATAAATATAGACTATATGTCATCATATTCATATATGAACCATTTTTGATAAATTCTGAAATATATGTCGCAAGTACATATGACATGTTGGATTCCTCTGCATACCATTACTAGAAGGAAGCCCACGTACCACTAGGTACACGTACCACAGTTTGAGAACCACTGCATTAGACTATTTACAATGGTACCAATAAAGAATAAAAAAAAAAAAAACTGATGAAAAAAACAACAGAAATCAAACAAAAAATAAATAAATAAATAAATAAATATCAATAGGTTAACTGATCTGAGGATAGAGATATAATAGATAAAGAAATTGTGAGTAAAGAAGATAACAGCAATTTAGAGGTTTAAAAGATTATACATATTAATCTTTTGTATAAATGCTATAAATGCTGGCTTGCAATTTGAAAATTCACATTTATCAATATAAAATCTGCATAAAAAGGAATAAAGGTTATTATAAAATGGACATTAAAATATGTATAAAAAAAGCAAAAATAATAACTTTTGGAACAATTCTCTGAAGCATAGATGCAAATAAGCAAGGAAGAGTTTCAGCGTTATTCTGACAGTCTGATCCAAATAATCTCTTTAAGAAGTTTTTTGACTAGGAAATGTTATGTAATAATTTGAAAGATATTTCCGTTGCAACACAGGCTTCCATTACCTTATTAGCAGGGCCAAACAGAATCTGCTGACATTTATTTGCTATTTCTACTGAGAATTTTGTAAAAAAAAAAAAAATCTGCGTATTTATGCCGAATTATTTTGAAAAAAAAAACTTAACCAAAAACTTAAGAAATAAAAAAATACAAGCTTTTTAACTTTTATTTAATGTTTTCAATGCAAATCCATCTAGATCCACTTATTTGATAAACAAAGAATGTCTCTCATATATCTGCTAAAAGACAGAAAATATTACTTTACAAACTGTATTGTAAATAAATCATATGAACAATTTCATATTAGTCAATATTAATACTGAAATTAATAAAAAAAAAACTGAATACATATAAATTTACACAAGTAAATAAATAGACTCGATGGGCTAAAAATCTGCAGAAATCTGTGTATTTCTGCACACGCAGATTCCGTGTGGGCCTACTTATTAGTAATAAAAAAAACTTTGCTGTATGGACCACATATTTTCCCAGTTGAAATGGTCAAAAAGACTGTTCCAATTTGAGATATCAGGAGGGGTAGAGAGAGTATTTTTCAAGGAACAGAGCTCTTATTTTGTAGTTTTTATTTTTGTTTAAAGCAAAACAAATTTCACCAATAGTCATATTAACTGGTTCTGGAATATTAAAAGTCCCTTGTGATATTGTATTGTTTTTAAAAAGCATGTATAATAATCCAGGTAAGGAATAGCATCTATAGTTATTGCAAACTCTTTAGGAGTTACTGGAATTTTGTATTTTGTGAGAAATTTTGTGAATCTCAGCAGTATAAACCTTCCTCATTAAAGAGCTGGCTAACAAGTACTATTCCATTACTGAACCATTGATTGTAAAATAAAGATTTATTTTCAAAACAAATATTTCTGTTGTTCAATATGTAGGGGAGAAAATGACATGTTTGTAGATAAGAGTACTGCACATCACTCTTTAGCAATACAAAAATAACAGAATGAACTCTTAATTCTGAAAATTACAGTGTTTATTGACCATTTCCACAAACAGAAATAATAAAATATACTTAAATTATAATATATATGGATACAATACTTACACCAAACGTAAGGCTTGAAACTAAGGCATAAATGTGCTTTGATAAAAATGAAATAACATCTCTTCATTTTATTTTACTTTTTAAATCATAATAAAAAACAGGTATCTATACAGGGTCTGTACAACATTAAAAGTTAATGTCTATTCGTTTTTGGCAAATGACAATATACAAACACACATTGAGTATTTGGCCACTCAACTTTAAAAATGCTATATAGCTGTGATGTAAAGTATAAGCTCACAATATCTTAATGAAGAACTATCTGGTGTCCCGCTAATTTTAAAGCTTATGACAAAGATCTACAAAAAGTCAACCGTGAATTAGTGTAGTATTGCACAATCACGAACAGTAAAATACATCAAAACTACAAATTCATTTTAGGGCTGTTAGGATGAAATAATTTACTTGTCAACTGGTTCTAAACCTTTTTGGATTCTTCATTTTCTATTGAACACAAAAGAAGATATTTTAATAATGGTGGAAACATTAGTTAATGACAACCATAGTAGGAAAAACAATACTATGGAATTGGCATGCTCCGATCAGGATTTTTGCAGCCGATACCGAGTGCTGATTCCTTGTCGAGGTGATCGGCTGATACCGAGTACCGATTGTAATGTTTTAAGCTTAATAATGCATAATTTTCCTCGAGGTATACTTAAGTGGATATCTCTCCTTACTTATGAGAATAAATTAAGGATGCTGCATATAATCCCTTAAATATGTCTCTTTCAGCAATATAGGTGTGAACATATCATGGAAAGAAGCGGCTCAACAGAAAATAGATAAAACAAAACAAAAAAATGTAAAAAAAAAAAAAAGACAAACAATAAGATTTGGAAACACTGCAAATGATAAAAGAAGAATTCAACGTGTCTCAATCAAGAAAAAAGTTAGCAGCCCATATTTGATGAACAAAAAATTAAAATGCACACCTATAAATCATTACTAAAAGGAAACAGGCCTATAAACTACTGTTTACTGCAATATTACGAGAAGGTATATTAGTAAATATTCATGTTAAATTTATATATGTTTTTTGTTCTATTTATGCAATATTTTCAGCCAGGTTTTAGTGAACTTGCAACATTGTCAAAAACACAGAAGTTCTTTTAGTTCTTATTGGTAAAAAAGCCTAAATACATGCAATGTCGTTCAAACATTTACTCATTTCAAGCTAATACAAACACTTGTGATTGGTATATGAGATCGGCCAGATCACTGAGTAGTAATCGATCAGAGCATCTCTAGTATAGACTTTATTCATCTTATCTTCTTTTGTGCTCAACAGAAAAAAAGTCACTCAAACAGGTTTGAAATAAGTGGAGGGTGAGAAAATGATGACAGCATTTTCTTTTTTCTTTTTTTGGGGTATTTTCAATGTGCTAACTGAAATATTAACTAACTAAATGAATACTAATCATTTTCCCTTCATCTTAAAATAAGGCAAGCATTTTTTCAGACATAACACAAAATTATGTAAAGCTAAAAACATCCATTTTAACATTTCTATGCTCCCTGCATAACTGAAAATAAATACTGATATATATGATATATATTAAAACCTAGGATGTTTGTTCAATGGCTATTAATATTAAGCTCAGATAATGAATTTAAATCAGATTTTAAAGTACAGAGTTACCCGATTAAGCCAAAGCAATGAATATACGTAAAGTTTCCAGCATCTGAATGGCTTTCGATACCAGATCTATTACACAGTCAGACCCATACGGTGACCTGTGAATACTTAATTGGTCATAGCTAAGCAAATGTTTCAACAGAACCAGCTGCACATCGGTAGAAGGTCAGTAGCAATAATAAAGCTGTGAGCGCAGATGTCTGAAGGAGTCCTCTCCATGTGCGCCACCTTGCTCACCCTCAAACAGCAGGGCGTCTGGCATTATGACGCCCTCCAGAGGATCAGGCTGACAAAACTCTACCACAAACTCTTCCTCAGCCTCCAGCAGAGTTCTGGACCAGGCGGACATGTCAAGTCTTCCAGATACTCCTCCATACTCTTGAGGAAGCACAGACTGGGGAATGACTCGATGGAGAGAGGCCAAGTCTGAGCCGTGCAGGACGTACTGTTGGAAATAGACAGATCCTTGTTTTGTTTTTTGTTTTTTTTTAAGTTTTTTAGTACTGCTTTGCTAGAAATACATGTGTACAAATGGGTCAAAGATTAAAAGATGATTGCAAGCATAAAACAAAGTGTAATGCAGCTCAATTAATTTTGTATATTGCACTTTTTACGATCTAAACTTTTGTTGTAACTTTTTTACATATTGTATTGATTGTGTGTTCTTGAAATATTTATTTACTGCCTTACATTTAACCCTAATTTACAGAAGGCTAATATTTCAGCCCCCAAATACTAACTAATATTATTTTAAACCCTTAGTTTTATCTGCTATTTTTCAAACCGCTACATCCTACTCATTTGTTAGTTTGTTATTATTTAATAATAATGTAATAATATTTTGTACAATTGAGTATTGGATGTGTGTTCTTAAATAGCTTTTTTATTACCATCCATTTTACCCTTATTTACAGAAGACTAATATATAAGACTATATACTTTTAAATGTTGCTGTTAATCTTTATCAAACCTTTACCCAAAGAGCATCGACACATTAATTACCCCTGAAACACTTTTTTGTTTGATATACATCTTTGATTCACTTCGAATGTTGACTACTGTACATATTTATCACATTTTAGCCCCAAAATACTAAGTAATTGTTATTCTAAATCTTTAGGTATTTACACTATATTTCTAATCAATCAATACATTCTACTCATTTGTCAATTTTTAATTATTTAATAATAATATAACAGTAATATAATATAATTCTGTATGATCAAGTATTGTTTTATTTATTTTAAAAAGTAAAGGTCAGAAAATATATCTGGTAAGGTGAATAATGAATCCGAATTCCAAGATAAGTGGCTGATTACTTACCCTTTCTGCCATTTTCTCTTTCAGAAATGGTTTGATTATTGCAAAAATACCCTTGAAGATCCGTGGCTCATTTATAATGTTTACAGCTTTTATTCTGATTGGGAAGCCATCCTAAAACAAAATAAAAATAAGCAGATTGATGCTCAAATTCAATGCAATGAATCGCTGAGCTAGTTTTGCATTGATTTACCTGCAGGATACCGACAACTTTCTTTGCCAAAAGTGGACCTGGATTAGAAGCTTGAGAGAGGCCAACTCCAGCATAATCCACCAGGATAACGACTCCATTTACTTGGGTTTCCTCAGGCTGAATCAGCTTCTCTAATGTTAAATAAATAGCCCTTATGTTGTCCACAAATGGGTAATCATTAGGCTTCCATTTGCCTAGGAAAGGGAAAGACAAAAATGTATGAATTAAACAAGAGCGTCATTCTGATTAAAACAAAAGCACTAAACTCTTTCATAGGCTCTTAACCCTATAAAGTCTAATTAACATATCAGATACAGGAATTTGTAATGATTCCAAATTATCAACGTGATGAACAATTACTGAAAAACCTGTTATATACATTTTTACAAGTTTTCTCTATAATCTAATTGTTAGTTTAGACTTTTTAGGGAGCAAAATAAATTAAATACCTGTAATGTTGCCTTCAGGTCATGGTAAACATTACAGATTTTTATAAAATTTTATAAAGTAATACCAAGAGTAACTGTTATATTTTTAGTAATTTTTCAACCTAAACATTTACTGTTTTTTTCCATCATTTTTTTTTCAAATGTGAATATGGAGGTATTATTATATTGTACTGCATTATGTGTGTTTGGCTGCTACAGTACCAACTTCAGACCTTTCATTGTAAGCACTTAAATATCATATCACCAAGACATATTATTAGTAAATATAATGTTCAACTGATATGCATATATGTAAGGGTGTAACTTTGGTTTTAAAAGTGGGTGGACACAGAATAGGGGAAAGTTTTTGTTGATTTAAATACAATTTACTGCACTTACCTTTATTTAGGGACTATGGAGATACAATAGTCAATGGAAAACGGGCTGATTAAACAAAATGAATTTCAAACTAACCAAAAATTGTCCAAAAAGCAAAAAAAAAAATATAGACAACAGCAAAATTAATATGTGAGCCAATTATATGAAAATGTTCATCATTATTTTATTAATGCATAAAAAACAGTTTTTAGTTTTAGTTAAAAAAATATTTACATTACAGTAAAAATATCTAAATATTACACTAACATCAGCAGTGTAGACATATTCTGTCTGACAGAAATACCATTATTCTGACCTGAGATAATATAATGAATTAACCAACTCAGATGTTTTTTAAGTCATCTGATGCTTGGTGTTTCACCTCTGTTTGAAATGATTGGCATGCAGGTAAAAAAAAGTCATATAAAGTGGGTGGACACAATCAGGATTTTGAAAAGTAGGGAAGACATGCCCCTCCCTGTCCCCTGTGCAAGTTACACCCATGCATATAGGCACTTTTCATTATGCAAACTTATGTTGTAACTTTTTTCATATTTTGTTTAATTGCAGGTCCAGACCACACAATATCAGTCTGATTTTGGCACAATCCATTTGATGTAGCCTGACATTGTGATTCAAAAACAACAATTACTATCAGGACAGAAGAATATCATCATATAGTGTGTCATAGAGGACAACATCCATTTCTATCAACTGCTTACTCTTGTTTACATATGCCTGAAAGGTTTCTTGTCCAGTAGGCAAAAATAATAATTTGACAAAGTGACACAGTGATCATAACAGACAAAAAATATTTTGTCAATATTTTGTAGCCTGTAGTACCCAGGATCCAATAAGCTGTTACATTTACTTCTTATACCAGGCTTTACAAGTGTATTAGACTTTTTATTATTAATAAATCAAACCCAATGTTTAGTTTTCATGTCAGATAAACATCTTGTTAACTCAACTCTATAAGCAGAAATCTAGCTTATTTCATTCAATACCTGGTCGTAAACACAGTATGTAGCGTCCTTGAGGGTCTGGCCTGGGCAGGACAGTGAGAAAGCCCAGGTCTAGGACGTGCTTGACTGTGGAGGGCTTCAGGTCCTGGAACACTTCAGGCCAGGCTCTCCGGCTGGCATGATAATTCAGGAGAAGCTGAAGGGCCCGGTCATAATCAAACTTCCTGGCCCTGAGGAAGCGCAGCAGAAAAGCATCATCTAACCGGGTCCTCAGATTAGGGTGGTCTTTCAGTATCATATCCCGTAATGCCTGGACATCCCGCAGCCTCCATTCGGGCTTCTCCTGAAGCTCTTCCCGAGCCTTGGCTACTAGTTCAGGAGTCAGAGTGCAGGTGTAGATGGGTGGAGGAGGACCTGGGAAGCCTAAACCTGCAGCTGTGTCCCTTGGAGGCCCAAGATCAATGTGCCCATTTTGGTCTGCCATGGGCTATACATAGAAAATATGAAAGAAATAAAAATAGTGCAGTCATGGATAAGTTTTTATATAGACAAAGCTGTCAAGCTTAGCTTTAGTCATTCTACAGATGTGGTGTCATTCATGGTTGTATGATATTTAAATGTTTTATTTTTGTTTTACAAAAATGTAATTACATTTTTACTGCATTGTATTTGTAATTTGTAAATGTTGTAATCTGCTGTGGGTGGGTACACTTTTTCACATGATTGAGCTTTAAAAATATCACTACACGTTTTGGTATGTAATATATCATAGTTTTCTATTTCTTGTTGTATCTCAATATATACAACTGGCGTGAAATGAAAAAAATTATAGATATAAGCTTCCTCATATTTAAATTTTGAGTAAGTTATATCAAGTTATTTCTTAAGGGAATGACTGTTGTTGAACTTCTATACCCTAACAACAGCACTATCATATGCACAAAACATAATTTGTACTATGTTAATGTACTAAATGATAATCTGATGTATTCTATTTACTAAAATACATCAGACCCATATAGCTACCGCGAGTTTTCCCAGCGCAGCTATGGTGTTCAATAAGCACTGCAAATTTACATATGAAAGCCAGGCGTAATCCTATTAAGCTGTTTCACTTATTGCACGATTAAGATGTGATGATTTTCACTCAAAACAGAACAGAAATGTAAACATGACCAACCTGCCAAAGAAATCCGCAATCAGTTCCGTGTACAGGATGAAGCCAATCGAGCATTGGTCATTCTGTGTCATGTGGTGTATGACGCAAGTGGCGTTTATTCGGCGTGCTCTTCTGACGTGAGTAATTTGTCGATGGTAAAAAATGAAAATATCCCATCTTACTTTTAATTGATGCATTAGAAGTCTGGTTCAGCTCAAAATGTAAACCATCTATGCGCCTTTATTACAATATTTGTGCTTACCGATATAGCAACATTGCCTTAACCAACGGTGTGAGTTTGAGTGTCTGTGTCTGTGCTCAGCAATCAGAGCCTTCGGGGCAGGCTCAAACGTGTTGCAGGTAAGAGGCTTGGGTAGAATTTCATCAAATTTTCAGGCTAGGTAACAAAATAGAAACTTTTTTATTTTCAAAAAAATAACCAAATTTATTCATGTTTAATTATAAGACAATATTTGGGATGTGAAACTAAACAGATAATCTGAAACTGAACAGATAATCTGTAGACAAACAAAGCAGTACATTATTATTCATTCATTAATTTTCCTTCGGCTTAGTCCCTTTATTCATCAGGGGTTGCCTTAGCGGAATGAACCACCAACTTATCCAGCATATGTTTTACACGGCGGATGGGGAACACTCATTCACACACTATGGCCAATTTAGTTGATTAAATTCACCTATAGTGCATCCATTATTTGCTTCGGGGTAAACTGGGGCACCCGGAGGAAACACACGCCAACAGACCATGCAAACTCCACACAGAAATGGCAACTGATCCAGCCAGCAATCGAACCAGCAACCTTTTTGCTGTGAGGCGACAGTAAAAGGCACACCTCCTGAAGTCACGAATGTGCACCGTAAAGATGAAAGTAGACAACCCACTTGATCATGTCATTCGCCAGTTAGAAGACTTTACAGTATGTTATAATACTACAATTTCGAATGAAAAACTGCATTATATCTAGCACATTTTCAATTGTGTAGCTACTGTAGCAAAACTTGTCATAATGTGCAATATTTATGCATGCAAGGATGCCGCTTTGTCCTAAAGTGGCCATTCTTTGGCCTGCCGGGTGCAGGAATTACACTTATTACTAAGCCATACTTACTGTACATGCTATTTCAGACCGAATATTCAAAGTAGCATGGTAAACAATATAGACGCCGCATCATAGGTTGTCATTGTTCAAAAATGAATTAATGTTATGTGAATATAAAACCAACTTTACTTTAGTAAAGCTAGGCGGAATAGTGCTATTTACTAATGTTTTGTTGTTAAATAAAACAAAAATCGACATTATTGATACTTTAAAAGATCCCTTATAAATTGAAAATAGTCACATCAATCTTTTGCCGGAAGATTTCAGGGGCTGAACAACACTTCTGGGCATATAACCCATTTGTAAAACAACACCATCTACATCAGCTTTGCGTGACTAAATTACTTTTAAAACAGAACATTACCTGTCTAACAGAAATACCTCAGCCATGGTGTCATCCCTCCTTCAGCGTGCAAAAGTAACTCCAATATTGATTCAGGTTTTAAAAAGCTTTGATTCAGCATTTGTTTTTAACGCTGTCACTTTCTCGAGTGCACCTGAAAGTGCATGAACGCGCAAACGGGGGATCTGTCTGCCTGAACGGGGTGTGCAGATGTACAGGTACAAATCTATATTTGCTGACAGGCAGTTTGGGCTACTTATCAGAATTATGGGAACATTTAGTCTTATGCCTTACCCAGAATATAAAAATACACATAAATACATTTAGATCATGTACTTTAATCATTATTTTTGCAATGTGAAGAAAACAAAAAATTGTTTCTAAATTCACCTACTGCACCTTTAACCTACCTTCAGCAGCTTCCCCTGACAATTGTTGGCAACACAATAGGTGTTGTTGCACAAAAATGGCAGCAAGCGTCACACTTTTAAGCAACTGCATCATTCATTCATTGACTTAGTCTTGGTTATAAAATCGACCTTAACTTTTTGTATGCAGCTAATACATCATGTTAGTTTCTGTCACATCTTGGTTGCTTAGGTGTAATGAAATAGTTGAATCTTGAATACAGCTTTATTGAATTATAGATCTGATTAGCCTGGAGTTCATTCAGTAATTGGCACACAATTGGTTATATGATTCCACGACAATGATTTCTTAAGAGAAACTATATCAGTAAAGGCGCCTGCTTTATGAATTGTTTTATTGTCTGTTATCAGCGTTGAGCAGCACACACTCCCAGCACTAAAAATCCTTGACCATGCTCTGCCACGTATACTCGCTTTTTATCATCTTGTTTTGAAGCAGGTTTTACGGCTGGAGATGATTATGAGCCTGAAAAGTTGCTCTGGAAAACTTTTGCTATTAACTAAGGTTTGTTGTTTGGAGAGAGATGGAAATGTGTGATCATGATTGGCCTGCCTTTTAAAAGAAATCTTAATGCACTTTAAGCTGCAAAATGCTCTCCAAAGACTATACTGGTTATAGTTAGGTTTGTTTTAGTTTCATTTTTTTTTTTTTTTTTGTCTGAAATGTATTATCAAAACACCCACTATTGAAAGAATGGTTTGCTTTTCAGTGTTTGTACTTCCAGCAGTGAAATTAAACCACACTGAACTGAAACTAATCTTCAACTGAAAAGACACAGTTTCAATTTAGATCTTCCATGTTAAGCTGCTTTTTACACAACATCTACATTGTAAAAGTACTATAGGAATAACGATGAATTTAATTTAACTATCATAGCAGCTTTTGTGACTTAAAGATAAGATTTAAAATGATATCCATGGACAGCAGATAAAGAAAATAAACAACAACACACTTTTATGTAAAAATATAGCCTTGACATTTAATATCAGTTCACATTGCATGTTTTAAATTACCCTTCTCTTTGAAGGATGCAATTGTCAATTGGTTATAAATGACCAATATTTGAAACTATAAATGAATGTGGCATTTTTTCCTGAAATATATATCACTGACTAGCCACAATTGTTAAGGGGTTGAGCAGGAAACCAAAGTTTTTTTCTGTTCTAAAGTAGACTTATGAAAAAAAAAGAAAGTCGTAATATTTACATTTTAAGTATGGCACATACAGACAAAATATGAAATGCACATACTCTATGCATACAAACAATAATTACCAGCATTTTGGTAAATAACAACATTTCCAAGGCACAAAATGTTTAGGTATTCTATCAGGCTAAAAGTGTTATAAGAGCCAGTCGTTTGTAGCAAGCTGTGAAAATACTGTACAATTAGAACAAACATCTGATCAAATTCAGGCCTGCTGTAACATATTAATGGAACTCAAACTCCTTGTAGAGATATCCAAATTTGCATAGCCTTTCTGTTAAATGGTTCTTTCTGAATGCTAAATGGATAATATAAATATGCACCACTAGTTTGAACAAATGAGATGGGATGAACATAAAGAGCCATAAGTGACCATTTGAAAATTTTCAGTTTCTTTGGATTAAGGATTTATGGTTAATAGGTTTTATGCACACAGACTTTTAATTTCTGTCAGTCAGCCACAGGGCTTCCTGTTAATTGTCATCCCATACAAAATCGCAGCTTTTAAAATCTGACTCCTTTAAAAACAGCAATCTACACTGCCTGGTTGAGATACGATATAAAGTGGGTATCAGACCAAACAAGAAGCACAGCATTAAATTATATTTTTCCATGTCATGACTTAAAAATATGGAAATTAATTTTACTCAAGTATTTTCAATGGAATTTTTGCGCTCATCTGCAGCCAATGACGGCGCCTGCGTTTAAACGGTTTTTCGTCCCTTTTTACACTTTAACAACCAAATGGATGCTTAAGTCTGTTTAACTGATTATGATTGAATTACATTATAACATCGATGCCATGTAAGGAACCTTATAAAATTGAAAATAGTCACATAAACCAAGTTCATCATTCATCATCATCATTGGCTGAAAAACACTAGCTGTGCATATAGTTCATTGCCTATTTTGGGCGTTTTATCAGTTAGGTACTGATAACATTTCTTCCAAATTTAGAATAAAAACTTTTGCTGAAATATTTAGTGGAAAAGCCTGATTTTTAATCAGACAAATGAAAATAAAATGTTCAAAAGTGCCTAAAAAAAATCATCATACCCCTTTGAAATAATGGCTTTCTTTGTCATTCATTCATTCATTCATTTTCTTCTCGGCTTAGTCCCTTTATTAATCCGGGGTCGCCACAGCGGAATGAACCGCCAACTTATCCAGCAGGTTTTTATGCAGCGAATGCCTTTCCAGCCACAACCCATCTCTGGGAAGCTTTCTTTGTCATACATCCTGAAATCAAACCACATTCCAAATAGCTTTTCCAGTCTTTAAAATGTTTTTGTAGCCTTCTCATAATCTGTGCGTTTCTACTACTTTATCACAAAGGTCTTTTGAAAGCAGTGCGTAATGTGCACAAACGTATAGATTTTCATAGGGTGTGAAGATTTTCTGTAGGCACTGTGGATGATATTTTCTTTTGTAAAAATTTTATATAGAATAGAATATAGTCCTTTGATAGAATAAAAAAATATATAAACATTTTACTTAAAGCCGCCACACCTAAAAAATCCAGATAAATTGACAATTTTCAAGTGGTCTCTTAAATTGTTCCACATCTATATATCTAAAGTAACCTTTAAGCTCAATTATTTTGGTAAAAAGTTCTAAAAATAGTAAATTCTCAATGTTCACAGTGTCTTTGCTACAAACTTTAATTTGAACAGCTAGTGAATATACATTTAAAATATGCTGTGTCCAAATATCTATTGTCACAGTCTATTAGAAGTAGCGAGTTTAAGAAGTTGAGTTGTGCTTTTCTGCTATCAGATGGCCTCTTGTTTAGTGATGGTAGGTTGAGGGATGGAGCTTGGCTGTTTGGGCACTGTAGCAATAACACCCGATGCCATTTTGTAGTGATCAGAACCTGAAGCTGTGGGGGGAGATGGGATTGGAGTTTCCGGAGTGGCTGTTTGGAAAAAAAAGGGCAAGAGGATGTATTAGATCAGGGGTCAGCAATGGGGTATTATGGCACCTTTAATAGAGATAATTTGCATAGCATGATAACATGTGAAAGAACGAAACCACTGGTTGACAACAAAATAAGCACGCTTATGAAATTTTTCAAGGCATTAGGGTAGGAAAGCATTACAGTAGCTTTCTTTGACAAAATAAGCCTGATTAGTTTCTACGATTCTGGCAGGGATTACTCCCAACAAGCAAGCCTGTTTGTCCATGGTTCTCACATTTAAAGGACCTATATTCTTCGTTCATGAGAAATGTTCAGTTCTGGAAGATGGTTACTTACACATCTGGCCATTGTGAAGTGGAGTAGCCATGTTGGCAGTGACTATGACGTTATTACTGAGGTGTTCCTGGACCAGATGGGGGTGGAGAGAATGATGAGCGTGAGGTGCTTCATTAGCTGAACCTGACAGGAAAAGGAAGTCGTTAAATCTATGGTTGGAAAGGTCATTTACAGGTCAGAATGAGGGAAGAACTTGTAGAGTAAGAGGTTAAATGGTTAGTTTACCGCAAAATGAAAATTGAGGCTTTTGTTCATGTTATGCAAAACCTTTTTCTAAACATGTCACAAATTAAATGCATGTTAATCAAACAAAAACCAAGCGCTCCAAAGAAATGTGATTGCTTTTATGATGGACAGATTTTGATTGAACTTTTATTCACATAAGAAACATCAATCAGTGAACAGACAACGGAAAGCTTAAACATACTGCTAGACCTCATTGGTTCTCCCGTGTCAAGCAAGCATGCTTGAGCTTCTGTGACCAGATTGATTAAAAAACATAATAATCAACAGCAAGATAATGATAAATGACTGTCACATGAAACTTAAAATGATGTTTCTCTCAATGGCTGGTTGTGTAAACCATAATGATGTCAACAGTGCGACTACAATGATATTTCTAAATTCCCACCCACTTTGAAGCAGTAAACCAAACTGCAGTTGAAAGCAAACTGAGCCAAATAAATCAAGCTAAGCCGAGTCGTACCATCAGTGGAAAAGCAGCTTAAAAATGGCAGATTTTCATTTTAATGTATTGTGTATATATAAGTGTCTATCTTTTTTAATATTAAGTTGTTCCCAGAAGTTACTGGGTTACTTACTATATGTAAGATTTCTTCATTAAAATATCCAACAACCACTAGAACAATGTTTTATTTTTTGCTTATACTTATGTATTTACATTTAATTTAAATATTTCAAAGATTGTTCAAACCTAGAGAAATAACAAATTTTAACTGGACCATGTACTGTTTCGCCATGCTAATGACATCAAACCCTTTCAGTTTCCAGTTAGTTTTTTTTATAGAACACAGGAAAACACCAAAGATGCTTTAATATATTGTGTGTTTTATTAGACTCCACAAAGCAGCATTATAACAGAACCTTAAAATGTATTTAGTCTGATAAAATAGAGCTGCTTCTTAAGCATGTAACAAGCAGAAGAACTGGGAGTTGTGGACTGTATCCTAAAAAAGCTTCATAGCTTTTCTGCCACGTTGTTTCAGCAGTCTCCTTTCACTTTAACGACATTCAGCCTTGCTCTGCTTCACACTACCATGAAAATTAGTTTAAATACTTTAGCTCATCCATGAACATAATTTCTACAGGAGTGTAATGAAGACGAAAACTCCCATTATTTCACACTGTCAGGAGATCATCAAACTATGCCTTTGTTTTTTGTGAATCCACAGTCTCTAGTGGGGAAAATTACATATTGAGCCTTAAATTCTAAACATATTGCTGTAACAAAGTCTTTTCAAGAAAAGTCATTTACCTCCTAAAAGCATCTCTTGCAGCAGATTGTCTATCTTCGCCATTCCAAACAATTTAACAAACTGGATTTGCTCGATCATTTGCCAGGTGATGCTCTGTAGTGTCGGCAACAGCAGAAGCAGCTCGCCGAACCGTCCCCGCGAGTCATACTGTCGGTCATTGATGTAATCTTCCAAACTAACTTGAACTTGATACCGCATTCGTTTGATCTTGCTTGGGTCACTTAAACCTTTGGCGTCTATAGTAGTTGAGAAAAAACATCACATTAGGAAAAAAAGTCTTGACATTCTGCTCTTCTTATCTCATTTTAAGGATGATTAATGTACCTGGATCGAAAAATACAATGGCTTTTAAGCAGGCGTATTCATTGTCATCAATCTGGAGATCTTGGAAGGGAAGTACTAACTCATCAAGGATTCTTACAGCCACACGGCTCACCTCCAATTCAGGGCAGTTTCGAGGAATTATATGATCATTGCCTGCAAGAATCATGGAAAAATGTAAGGTAAAACATTAGTTAAATTGTTTGAAGCCTCTACTCATATTCGCATGTGTCTTTTCTTACCTAATAGTAAAATGTCTTTATACATCATGGAGCGTTTGGCAGCTCCTAGTAGGAGGTGTTCTCCAGCGTGAGCTCGCAGTAAAGCCACCTGAGACAAATAAACATGGAAATATATTATTATTTTTTTACATTTTCTTTAGAGTTCTTTTCATGTCTAGAATATTTCATATAAAATCAATGAATTGTTTAAAGTCTCTATGATGACCATATGGTTAGTCTTAGCGTGTCTCCATGTGTGAGAAGATGCGGTTTGAGACGCTCTCACCCACAGCTAAAACACTGATAAGTTAGCATGCCTCAGTGCTCAGCGTGTTAATGATTCTGAATGTCTCAAGAAGAGATGTAACTTTCAAACCAGCTCATCATATTCTAACCTGAGCCATCCAAATACATTAACCACCCAAACTAGAGATCTCTGAACTTTTTTTCCAATGAAAACAAAACACGGATTCAGTCGACACCAACATGCATTTAAGTAAATATTGCAAGGACACATTTGTAGATAAATAAGAGGAACTTGTCCTACCTGATCATCCAGCGGGAGGTCGCAGAATGCAGGGATGTATTTTGCCCATTCCACCAGCACCAGCAGCTGCTGTTTCATAGACTCACACACATCCATTATTGCGGCTACCTTTTTTGTTCTGATATCACCATTCAAGATTGGACCCGGTGATGAAATCTATATGAGGGTATATACTTTATAAGTATTTTGCTATACATCTCTTAAACATAAACATTACTACTAAATCTTATTATTATTACTTATAAACAGTGCATAACAATATTATTAGACCACTAACATATTTATGAGACCACCACAGCTGCTCAAAATTTTTACTTTCTTTAATGAATATAATAATAATGGGGAGATTCAAAAAGAATACCACAACTTTGAAAATTTAATCAAAGAAACATGATGGAACTTCGTATAATCAATCCATGTGATGAGTACTTAACAACGTTTTTTTTTTCAGTAGAAAACAAGTTCATAGATGTTCAATATGACCCCCTTCAGACACTCGTGACATCAACCTGTTATTCGAACTCATTCCACACTCTCTTTAGCATCTCGGGCATAACAGATTGGATAGCTGCAGTTATTTCTTCTTTTAGTTCCTCAATGTTAGCTAGTAGAGGTGGTAAACCATATTTTTAACGTACCCTATTGAAAAAAACTGAGGGGGTGAGGTCAGGGCTTCTTGGAGGCCAGTGATGAAGTGCTCTGTCACAGGCTGCCTGGCGGCCGATCTATTGCTTTGGGTACCTTTCATTCAAATAGGCAACCTAATAAAACTCCAGAGCTTCCTTAAATCAACAACAGAAGCTTTCATTTTCTTCATTGTTGAGTTCTCGATTTTCAAAGTTGTGGTATTCTTTTTTTAATCACCATGTTCCTTCATTTGTATATTGCATCTTTCAATTTAATTCCAATAACTTAATGATTAATTCACCCGTGTGTGGACAATCACATACACAGTATATCTAATTTTGAAATATAATATTGTTATCTGTGAATTTTCAAAATGAATGTTTCACAAGAAAGGCTGAAAAAATAAGTAAATTGTTTTATTTTTTGTAACCAGCTGCCCAGTTACAGTTATTTACTTGCAGTCCTTAATAAAAAAAGGTTTTAATGTTTAATTAATTCACACTACTGAGAGAATTCTGGATATAAAAATACAAATTCATTAAGACTTTCTTTTTTGCCTAATAAATGACAATACAAATTATTTTATATATGAATGAATAGTAATAATTTTATCTATAAACATAGAATGTACAAGTCATATAATAAAGTAGAATTGATATAGCAACACTCAGCAGAACTGCAGATGTATTGACTGTTTCCGAACAGGTTTCCTAAACAAATCCCTCGTCTACCATTGATCAGATAGTCCTGCCCCAAACTAGCATCATTGGTTAAACCAGTGTTGCTATGTAGTTCTGATTGGGATGCTTAAACAAACAAAGCAATGTTTTGATAACACTGCAGTGTTTACACTTTTTCAAAGCAACCAACCTTCAGATGTCTTGTTTAAAGTTTATAGGTTTTACCAGGATTTGCTTATTGAGTACTTTGATTTGATTCACACTACTTACTTGTCTAGAAAGAACGTCAGCCTGAATGAGTGCGTTTATGGAGGGTAAGCTGCTGTCCTCATAGCTGGATCTTCTGGTGCTAATCCTGTCTCGTTCATTCTGCACAGCTGAGGATGAGATAACTACTTTTAATCAACAAATTATTAAAATAAGAAACACTTTTTTTGGATGTTGTACTTTAAAAAAAAAACAACTCTAGTTAAACCATTGAAACATATTCTTTCGTTATCAGTAGCAGCGAATGCCACCCAGTTCTGACAACCAATTGAGATAGCGGAGATGGGGAATATTAGCTGACTTTGTGAGAGGGGGGGTTGCGTCCGTACTCAAGGTTGCGCTTTTTTATCAGTGTGCAGTTATGATGGCTCTAAACTGTTTGTTCAGCATAAACCAGACATAGACTTCAGTGCATTGTTGAGTGAACATTAACAAAATGTCTCTCGCTAACTCTCTCTCTCTCTCTCTATGCTGTTGCAACATCTCCTATTTGCGCCACCTCATCCCCTAACCTCCCAAACAAGCCAAGTGAGTTTTAGTTTTTAGCTAGTTTTATGTGAATGTAATCTAACAACATGTGCAAGTACCTTCTTTTTTCATGCCAGCTCGAAAACATTTCTTTAGTCTGCAGTACCGACACTGATTTCTCTTGTCTTTGTCCACTATGCACTGTCTGTTGAACCTGTGAGAAAACATAAAGACATAGTTGGATGCATTGGATGGAAACTATTGCAGATTTTTGATCATAATTTAGAGAATATTTAATTTTCTCTAACCTGCATGAGTACATGTGGTTTTTGCGTACACTGCGTCTGAAGAACCCCTTGCATCCATCACAGCTTGAGGCCCCGTAGTGCTTTCCTGTGGCCCGGTCCCCACAAATGGCACATAGAGTGCCGGCCCCTAAGTGGTTGGCAGCATTCATGTTGGCACTTTCTTGTGGTGAGGAGTCTGCAATCATGGGGGATTTTGAATTTAGTCAAAAGTGTGCTAAATTGATTTAGTTTTATTCATGCAACAAAAATAGTCAGAGAATGAAGAGGCACTTAAAATAATAGGATAAGTGATGGCATAAAATTTGTCTTTTTTCAATGACGCTTAAAAATGTGGGTTGCAGACCTAACAAGTCAGAATTATTCCAGACCTATCAGAGTTAAATCAAATAGGGGAAAGGTCATGGGGTGAGAAATTCTTTTAGAAAATACATTTTTACAGCTCAATCAATTTGCAGTGAATCGTCATCACGAACATGTGCTGGAAAGGAGTGTTTGCTTAGTAATCCAGAAGAGATTAGAACTAAATCTGTACAAAAGCTACAACAAGATCATGCTAGATTATAGAAACTCTAATTAGCGTTCTTGATGACCTACAAAACAATTTCAACCTGAAATGTTACTCATGTATATGTAAATAATATATTTGTTTTTAATGAAGCTGACTTTCTATGAATGATTGTATATTCCATAAACAACAGGACATCAATTTGTTGAAGAAAAAGATCTGATTGGATTTAATGCTGATGACAGAAACCATTTAAACATTCATCATTTTTAAGAAAACAATTGTTGTTAATTTTGATGCTGGAGGCAGTCAGAGTAATCACATTAAAACCTAAGCAATGATCAAAGGCAAACGTTAAATGGCTCATCAGTTTGAGTGATTATGTAGTGATCATCTAAATCATCATCTGATTTGTCATATTAGGTGTTTGTGGTAATGGTTGTGACAAAAAATGTTTAAATATAAAAATTATAATCTGTGATCAATATATTTCATTGCAATTTTTTAAAATAATAATTAAAATAATTTGAATGTACTCTACTGTATAACAATTCTCGACAGCGATTTCCATTTTAGCTGTGAGTTATTAAAAAAATCTCAAATGTCAATCAAACTCAAATGTAAACATTTTATAAACTGGACTCTTATTGCTTTACTTAAACTTTAAATATAACCTTACCATTCATATTAAATTACTTGTGTCAGGTTGACACCGGTTGAATATCAATTTGTTGCACAAAACTTAGACATGGGAGGATTGGCTGCGAAACATTTACATGACACCCTCTTCTTCTAGTAATCATTCATCCTGGTGTCAAACTTCTTCTTGAAATACTATCCAAACAAGTCATTTTATCCCAAGCCAGCTGTATGAGAACAAGCAAAAGGAAACGGATGAACCTCTTCTCCTTGTGAACTTCCATATCTGCAGGACGGAGCATGCAGTGCTGCTTATCTTCAACCAAAAAATGCATTTTCAATTGGCTTCTGCTATATTGGCTTTTCCATGCAAGAGGTTGCGAACTTGCCAATTGGCAATCACTATAACCCTATCAACCCTGCCTCCCACGTTTGACCATATACCATTTAGAAGCCCATATAAAGTCACTAAAGGTCTCAAAGTTCACTCCGAATGACTCACCTGTGCTCATCGCAAGCACTTGCATGTTTTCAAACTCCAGCGTGGTGTAGGCTGGATCCAAGGCCTCGCTATAGTCTGCCATCTCCATGTCTACTAGTGGTTTGGACAAACGCATTCTCATCTACCTGATGCTGGGGGGAAAGACTTGTCCTCTCTAGAGCGTTTGGACACCCCCTCATAGGCCAGGCCCCTCCTCTTGAAGGGGTAGACACCTCTGAGTGACAGGGGCCATGTCCTCAAGGGCAAAGATGAGGCTCGCTGTGATTGACAGTCTAGGGCCTCCTCCTCTCCAGTGGGATGGACTTTATGTTAATCATTAAAATGCTAAATCAGAGTTGTTGTTTTGCTTTTTTTTTTTTTTGGAAATGGAGACTAATAGGGAAAGTTACTGTTTTATTTTTTTGTGCCTGTGTCTTAAATTCATGACTTAAAAATATAGACCAATTACTAAACTTTTTGACTGTTTTTCACTTCAAACTAAAATTTGCTATCACTTGTTTAGTCTTGGACTGTAAATATATCCATAATTTACCAGTTTTCTGTATTTTGTGATGTTTTTCCCCAATTATTTATACTTGCAATAATGGGATTCATTGCATCATGGGACCATGAGCTTCTGATAATGACTTTTGATAATGAAAAGTTAAAAAAAAAAAAGTTGTTTGAAAAGTTGAAAAAGTTGTTTTTTACATCAAAAGTCTACAGAGTAGAGATCACAGTACCATAATGCAACTCATAACCGTAATTAAAGAGAAAAAAAAGAATCATGAAATACAGAACAGACTAATTAACAGACTTTTTTTTTTAAAAGTGTATGTTGTTACAAACCCATAAGACCCCAGCAGACACACAACATCTTAAGACATTAATATTAGGTTAGATTTAGGTCGCCAGTGTCTTTGGACTGTGTTTTTTTGAAGTCCAATAATGATGTGAAATGAAGTTGATATTTTGTTGATTTTAGGTTGTGTTGGAAAGTGACCAAAATCCAACGTTGAGCCAACATCTTAAACCAACGTCATATTGAAGTCAAATACTGACATTTATTTGTCAGGTATGCCAACCAAAATCCAACGTCAGATAAATGTCATAGTGGTAACGTTCACACAACGTCAAGCTGCAACATCATTAGACATTGATATTTTGTTGTTTTTAGATTGTGTTGGAAAATGCAACGTTGATAATGATAACCAAAGTTGACGTCAGAACCCAGTCAGGCCAATGTTTATGTCCAACGTAGGACAGACTTTTAGCTCTGGCATCAACCCGATTTTCATTTCCAATCAAAATGCAACGTCCCACAATGTTGGGATGCAACGTCAATCTGACGTCATGTTGACGTCCTGTGGCTGCTCGGACTGTTGCTCTTTTTTTTCAGAAACAAATTAAGATATTTTTAATTAAATGGGAGAGATTTTAGTCATTTTCTTCCCAAATTCTTCAGAACGTTCTTAAATAAATTTCGTAAATAATTCGTAAATAAATCCATATCTTTTGAAGAGACATGATCATTATGTGATGTACAGATTTAGGGCTCTATTTTGACGATGAAGGCACAAAGACCAAAGCACAGGGTGCAAAAGCATTAATGGCGTATCCGAATCCACTTTTACTATTTTAGCGACTGGAAAATCCGCTCTGCACCGTGACGCATGGTCTTACAGGGTTCTCTTAATGAGTTATAGGTGTGTTTTGAGAATAAACCAATCAGAGACCCATCTCCCATTCCCTTTAAGAGTCAGTTGCATCACGCCATAGTGCATTTGTAATTTACATGGCGGACTTTGTTATTGGAAAAACTGAACTCTTCACTAGAGAGAAAACAGGTAAACAGAGCATCTGCACCTTGCGCCACATTGCGTTGGGTGTATGATAGGGCCCTTAGTATTTTCTGGAAGTACATCCAGATTTCATTCATAATACACTTATTTATACGTTATGGAACTTCTTTTTTTTTTCTTTTTTTTTTTTGCTGTTGTGAAGTAAGGAAAGTGTGATTTTAGATGCAGCCAAGCTATTCATTATATAAAAAAATAATGTCTCTTAAGGAGACTGGAGATTGATGGCTTGATTTTTATGGATTAATGTTTTCAACTATTCAAGAAATGTTTTGAAGTATGAGAGATGTGGGTGTTTGGGACAGAAATCTCAAAAATGTCCTCAGTTGTGTTACAAAGGTTAATTAATGTCTTACACATTTAAAACAATTTACAGTTGAAGTCAAAATTCTTATCTATCCTGTAAAATTTGAGTTCTTTTTAAAATATTCCATGTGATGTTTAACGGAGAAAAGACAAAAAAAAGGCTAATAATATTGACCATTCTTTAATATATATATAACTAAAAAGAACTAAAAGAAAAGAAGAAAAAGTGTTATAGAAAATATTGTGATAATTTTTATGCTCTGTTAAACATCACTTGGGAAATATTTGAATGAAAAAAAATATATGGGTGGGCTAGTAACCTTGCCTTTCAACTATAAAGGATGACAGAGTCTTTATTAAGTGGTAGAATAATGTTTTCAGAAATTTAGCTATCTAGGTCTGTCCCATCCTCCAGTAGCGAAAGGTCTCTCATACTCATCTCTTTAAATACGATTGAGAGTGAGTGGTCCACATTTCAATGTGTTTTCTAAATCTCTGTTAATTCTAGCACAATAAACAACAGCAATAACTCACAGGGTGAAAAGTGTGGCCTTTATGTAAAAGAGCTCATTGTTCTGTTGAACATTCTGCACGTGCACATGATGCACAGCTCAGATACAGCTGGACAGAGGAAATGCCATTATTTATCAATCAATCTATCAATCAGTCAATCTATCATTTGTCTGTCTGTCCGTCCGTCCGTCTGTCTGTCTGTCCGTCCATCCGTCCGTCCATCTATCTGTCCGTCCATTCATCCATCCATCCTTCCATCCATCCATCCATCCATCCATCCATCCATTCATCCATCCATCCATCCACCCATCTTTCTGGCTTCCTATCTATATATCTACACAAAAAAATGCAGGGTTCCACACAATATATTCATGTTCCTGTAAGTAAGTTAACTCAACAAATTTAAGTGGATTGGACATAAAAAAGTTAAGTTGTCCCCAAGAAATCTAAAAAATTGTGTTGTTTCAGCTCATTTTTAAAAAGTAGCTTAAACAAGCAGCAAAACTTATTTTCAAGTGTATCTATCTATCTATCTATCTATCTATCTATCTATCTATCTATCTATCTATCTATCTATCTCTCTATCTATCTATCTATCTATCTATCTATCTATCTATCTATCTATCTATCTATCTATCTATCTATCTATCTATCTCTCTATCTCTCTATCTATCTATCTATCTATCTATCTATCTATCTATCTATCTATCTATCTATCTATCTATCTACAGGGCTCCCAACTTCAAATATTTAGGAGCACCAACAAATTTTTAGGAGCACCAGAAAAAATTTAGGAGCACCCGCCAAAAATGAATGAGCACCGCTGCAAATTGTTTTTTGAGGGATTTATTGTATTTTAAAACAACATTAATAGGACTGACAAAAACCAGAAACTATCTAACTAATGCTGCAAAGACATTGATATTTGTGTGCAATAATTCCAAAATGAATGTCTAATAATTAGGCCATAGAATATTAATGATGATAAAAAATGACAATAATAGTAACAATGAATTACATTTCTCATTATGATGCTGCCTTGAATGTGCATGAATGTAGGTTATCTGCTATAAAAAGTCTGTTACTTTATGAAAAATAATAGTATAGTTTGCCTCAAACAAAAATGAAGCATTGCAGTAAGAAATATTTATTTTGTACTGCTATTTTTGTATGCATGTCAATTTAACAAATAATATTTCTGCAACAAAACAAACAAAAGATTATAATAAATCATTCAATTCAATGATGAAAGCTGCAAAGCAGTCATCGGTAAATAAATAAAAAAATAATATACACCTCAAACAAGAATAGACAAAAGAAAGTAAGTAAAGTCTCACTTCTATCACTCTTTAAAAGTTTTGGTTTCAGTTTGTGTCAATTTAAAGGTTCAGTCTGAGCTGATCTTCATGTTTCTGTGTTTGTGAAAAAGCAGTCGAGTCAGTCAACCCAATTTATGAGCAGGCAGAGCAGGATTCTTGCGCTGACCACCGGCCCAATACCGGTCTTTGTTATGAGCCGCAGTTTCAGTGTAAACTTAGTAAAGGCGAGCTTATTTGGCGATGATATGTACAGTATTAGATTTGACTTTTAGCGGACATTTGCGCTGAACACGCAGTGAATGCAACGCATGGAGATTCGGGCACCTTCTCCAAGAAGCGCGTACTCGATTGATCTCAGCTGGCGGATCATTATTCACCACGTGACGTGTCATGATCGCTCTCATCTGCGCCTCAACTTTAGGTGGGGTTTGCAAACCTGTGTGCTTTAAGTTTTTACTCTTCAGCCGTTTGCATTTCCCGTGGTCATAAAAGCTCCTTCCCTGTCAGACAGCGGAATACCTTGAGTGAATGACAGCTAATATGAACCAATATAGCGGCAGGGAAGAGCGATTCAGCACGTTTTTAGAAAAAACCAAGGTCGCACAGGTCGCACTACAACCATTATCTGCAGTCGCACTAATGCTCCCAGATATATTATGAGGTCGCATAGATCAATTTTCGGGCGCATATGCGACCAAAATGGTTGCAATTTCGAGCCCTGATCTATCTATCTATCTATCTATCTATCTATCTATCTATCTATCTATCTATCTATCTATCTATCTATCTATCTATCTATCTATCTTTCTGTCTGTCTGTCTGTCTGTCTGTCCATTCGTCCATCTGCCCATTTGTCTGTATTTCTGTCTAGCTGTTCATCCATCCCTCTGTCTGTTGAGACTAAATAATTGCATGGCAATTCCTTATTTTTCCTTTCAGGAAATATTTTACAGATAAAAAATTTAAATAAAAAGACTTTTTGGGATTGTCGACAAAAACTAGACCAGTTTTCTTTATCTTTTTTCATCACTATGACATAATGGGGAAAATTTTGATTATCGTCTCTGTACAAAATGCAGGATTTGTAAAATAAACTACGTTGTCCTAATTCC